GGGTCCGGAAACAATCTGGTCTGGAGATGATCTGGATGTGGTGTGAATGGGCCCTTAGCAGCAGTAACTGTATGGGTATTCGGATCACTGCGGGTGCTGGCAGAATACACTAGAGGCAGCTGGCATTCCTCCATTCACCATCTTTAGCCATTTTTCTAGATTTCTTTTCACCTGATACAAATGATATGCAGTGGCTGGAATTTGATTATCATTTTGGAGATGCTGCAATGTTCCCCAGGAGAAAATAAAGCACATTGGACCTTGTTCATTGTAAGGTCATGGAGTTGTAAAGTCCCAGCACATACTATCCTGTTATAAGATCAGCATTATAATAAGAATACTTACTAGAGTTGGTTTTCATAATGCCATAAAAGCTTACCTTGAAATAAATCCCTTTTATGTAGTGAGTGCTGCCTTCTGTCTGCCCATCACTTTCACCACTTTCCTGCATTCCCAGTGTGCTTTCCATCTCTTTCCTGCTGCTTGATGTGATAAAGTCTACATTTCTCAAGACTATATCTCCCATCATGCTTTGCGTCCAGCAAGCAATGATAAAGTTACACTGTTCAGATGCGGAGTTGTAGTTCAGAAGTCAGGCTCTGAGAGATGTGTGACACAAGGAAGTACATCCCATGGACATCTTCAATAAGCAAGTTTACAAACTTCTTGATGGATATGGTTATGGAGGGAGACAGAACTTGGGTAATTCATGAGAAATAGATTTATTTTTCACGTTCTAAAACAATTCATTCCCTCACAGCTCCCTCCTCATGTATTACTTGCCCCTCCCTTTAGATTGTAAGCCCTCAGGGGCAGGGCCCTCCTTACCATCTTGTCTTGAAATGTATTGTGATTGTGATTGTAATGTCTTCCTTACATTGTAAAGCGCTGCGCAAACTGTTGGCGCTATATAAATACTGTATAATAATATTTAATGTTTGACCCTTGATACTAGGGATGTTCAGATACCAAGTACCATATTTGATACAAGTACAGATACTTTTGAGCTCCAAGACTAGACTAGGGAAAAATTCAAAAGTTAGGAGGCAGCTGTCATGTGTAAGGAGCACACGGAGCTCCTGGGATTTGTACATCTCTGTTATAATGTACGATTTATTTATTTTTATAAATATATATTTGGGATGCACACATACCATTTCTTCAAGTACAAGTACCGATACTCTTCCAAGACCTCACAGATACAAGTACTGATACTCGTCCAAGTCCTCACAGATACAAGTACTGATACTCGTCCAAGACCTCACAGATACAAGTACTGATACTCAGACAAGTACTCACAGATACAAGTACTGATACATTTTTGTTTATTGTCATGTGACAGTTTTTCTAAAACAATACAGACTAATGATTTCAGGACAGTGGTGGAGCGCCAGAGCCAGGTCCCAGCTGCAACCGCTGCAACCCTGGTAGTTCATGAAAATGCCAAGTATCGGCATTGGTATCTGAACTGGTATCTGAACATCCCTACTTGATACCCTTTAACCCTGACTGGGGGGGCAGGGAGGTGCACCACACTTGTATGGTGGATGATTCCTGTGGATTTATATGGAGTGTAGAGAATAGTCGGTGGATGATTGTAGGCTTCACCATTGAAACTTTCCTTTTCCACTTTCAGTGGCTGCACTTTGCGAGTCATTTGGGGGTGTATGCCGTATTGTATTACTATGATCACACTCTGCTTCATATATTTACTTTGGTTTATTTGTTGTGTATTTTTACTATCCGTCATAACATGAAGACCATCCCCTCCATCGTTCTAATCTTTGCTGTGCTGCAGAGCCATCAGAGCCACTCGAATCTGCTGTAGGGACACATTAGTGATGTAGGGGGGTGGATGGGGAGATGCAGACATCTAAACACACCACAAAACGTTGGATGCATAAGATTCTAGTGCCAGCTGTTGCTCTGCAATACTGCGATGACAAGAATCAAATGAGTCAGTAATGATAACCAGCGCAGATGGGGAATCCCCTCGCTGGGTTATTGTATTCCAATAATGGCGGGAGCAATGCCATCAGAATATCTGAACAGTGACTGTAACTGATTAGCTGCCGTCACTGCTCGGCTGAGGATTTTCAGAATGGCTCCTTCGACAAAACTCAACTGGGGAATCTGCTTTTGTCGATTGGGGGCACCGACGGGGCTAATTACTAGTCAAATTCCAAGCAGTGTCAGCTTAACGCTTGAGGTCTTCTCTAGGTGTTGTCAATGGAGCTTGCTCCTTAAAGTAGTATTAAACTCTCACACTTTTTTCAATAATGAATGCAAATCAAACAAATATATATCCCCAGGAAAGCATTGCTTTACATTTGTGTCACATATTTTACCATAATTATTGCTCACAATCATCATGTTTCCAAACAGCTCCAACTCTCTCAGCTTCCCTGAACTTCCCGTCCAAAGTACAGAGCAATCTCTGTCACAGCTGTCCATCTACGAGCTTGGAGAAGGAAGGAGCAGGAGGAGGGCAGTGTCTGTGAAGACACACACAGCTTACTAGCACACACAAGGGTGGCTCCATAGGACACTGCAAGGGAATGGAGTCACCCTAAATTGGATATCAGGACCAGTACTCAGGAGACCGGCTGATTCTGCAGGACACTAACATTTTTAAACATCAAGGAGCAGCATCCATTGTAAGTGATTCAATCAGCATTTACAATAGATTAAAATCCTTTTGACTTTGAGAACTAAAGCCAAACCTTTTTGACTTTAGTTCTCTTTTGGGTCACAGAAAGACATTTACTATCTGCTGACAGTGCAGAGCTGTGCTGCAGCCAGGAAGTATGCCGACAATATTGGCTGCCTGACAGCTGGCTATTGCTCTCTAGATCCAGAGCCAGCTGTGCCCGCCCCATCCCCTGTCTGTCCCTCCAATGTGCTGGAGAAGCAGAGGGGTGAGGGGGAATCCCTTTGGGGGGGGGGGGGAAGTGATTGACAGTCATCTCTCTCTGCAAGGGGAAGACTGTGAGCTGAGCGATCAGTGGTTTGTGATCGCTTAGTTCTTGATCTATAGAGCCGGCATGTGACAGATGCAATGTCCAACACTGGCTCCAAGTATTGGGAAGAGTACATTTTGCTCTCCTAATACTTCTCCTTTAATACCACCAAGAATATCCTGCTGGCACCTGGATTGGACAGACTGGTTCCTGAATTCCAGATTAAAGGGTAATTCCACATTCCAAGGTTAATTTGGGAAAATAGATTTCCCCCTCCAATCTGAACCCCTCCCCCTGTTGCTATATTTTCCTTTGGCTAAACGCTCTTTCCCCGCCCCTGGTGCCAGTTTACTATCCATACTCGGCAGGGCACCCCTGCACTCTAAACGAGGAGCGCTTCTGGCCGCGTTCGCCAACGAGAAGCGCTTCTGGCTCGCCAATGAGTACAAATGCATTCAAAAATAACCAGATAAATGCAGATGACAGACCTCAATCCTCTAATGCAGTGGTTCTCAACGTGTGTAACCTCAGGACCCACATTGGTCCTTGGTCATTAAGTCGCGACCCAAGTCGCACTGCAATGGAGCGCACGGCATTAGGGGTCCAGTGTGGGTTGCTGAGCTGTGACGGAGCTCCATCGATATGAATTGCTTGTACAACTCCCTTGTGCGCCCTGTAGAGGTGCCGGGAACCAGAATGTGACGTCACTCTGGTCCAAGCAACTCTACAGGACATGCGAGGTAGCTGTAAGCAATGCTTGTATGGATGGAGCTCCCTCGCAGCCATACCCCTAGCCCACCCTAACTCAAGCTGACACTTGGCACCGAGCAGCATATTTTAAATGGCTGCTTGGCGCGAGAACTGACAGTGCTGCACTAGGAGAAGGCCGAGGAACCTCTCGCCTAGAAAAGTGGAAGGCATGTGGCGACCCACTGAACATGGGGTCGCGACCCACTTTTGGGTCACGACCCACCATGCATTCCCCTAAACAACTAGGTCAGACAGTTAGCACCCCCTTTACTTCCAGGTCAGGCAGGGAGTCACCTATTGGTTATTACAAACCAGCAGCACACAAGGACATCATGGAGAAAGTCTCCCACTTCTCGCCTTCCCTAGAAAAGAGCAGTGTCCAGGTCTATGTGACAAAGAGGGGGCCCCTCAACCCACATCCGGTATAAATCAGGCCCCAATACCAAGGGGTACTTGTGCAGCTGTGTACATTCTGCCAGAAAGCAGTCACAAGTCCTAATCTGCAGACTTGTACCATTTACACTACAACACTGCAGGCTGCAAGAAATGTATTGTCCGGTAGTAAGGCATATTGCGTAAGCCCATTAAAATGAATGATCTCAAACTGAACAAGCTGCATTTATTTTATCGCAGAACAACGCACATGATGCCCTGCATTGTGCTGCATCACACATGCATTCCAGAGGTGTGTTGGGCAGCATGTAACATGCATTACCACAGAGCAATGGTGACAATGGACTCTTATAGAGCCATTGGATCAGCACTAAGCCAGGCAATGAGCATTTTCAGGAGGGGATGTCAACAATGAATGAACAAAACCTTGCCATTCATTTAAAATCCAGATCTCTAGAAGATCACCACCACACGAAGCACCTACCGACAGCTGTCAATCACTCAGATCGTCCTCATTATCCCAACCATCCGATACCTGGTATCTACCTACCTTCTCCACCCCAGCACATGGAGGTAAGTGGCTCGGTCACAGGTCTCTTCCTCTCCAAGCCTGTGCTCAGCAGATCCAATACAATAACTGATCCGAGAAGCGATCACCCCCATAGTGTGATGATCAGTTTTCAGCTGCAGCACCCTCTGCAACCCCGGGGCCCAAAATACCCAACGACAAGCAGGCAAGCTCCATAGCCGGAGGGTGCGAGCGCTGGTGGTGAAGCCTGGCCCCTCGCACCGAGATAGTAAGTGGCCCCCCACCATGCAGAAAACTATTTGGCAGGAACTTGGAAAGTTCAGTCCTGTCGCTGCTCATCCCTGCAGAGAAGACCCGGCTCCCCGTACCTGCTTATATAGCCGTCCCCGTCTCCGTCGCACGTCTGAAAGAGGCGCCTCATCCTCTCCTCCTCCCCAGTGCTGGACGTATCGCTGCTGCCGCTGCAGCTGGTACTCCCGTTCACTTCAACAGCGGCCGCCATAGTGCACGGCTGGGCGGCCAGAGACTGCCCACTGCTGGGATGAAAAGCAGCCAGCTGCGGACACATGAAACGGCGCCCCGCCCTGCGCTCCACCTCCAGAGACCGCCCAGCCAGCTGCGGACACATGAGAGGACGCCCCGCCCAGCGTTCCTCCTCTGTCCCCACCCCCCGAGACCGCCCACTGCTCGGACGAAGACATATAGAAATGCGCCCCGCCCAGCGCTCCTCCCCGTCCCCACCCCGAATTCCCTTTGCTCTTCCACTAAGACACACTGCTGTCGGGATTACTAGCCTTGGGAAGTCTCTAATTAGAACGCTGACACTGAGGGGAATTTATCAAAATCTGGAGCAGTTGTGCATGGCAACCAATCAGCATCTCTCTTCAGTTTGTTCAGTTAAGATTTGAAAATTAAAGATAGAAGCTGATTGGTTGCTAGATTTTGTCTGCTCCAGTTTTGATAAATTCTCCTCTCTGGCTTTAATGGCACCATGAAGACTCTGGTGTTACTTGAAATATTCTATTTGTTGTACATGTTTCTTTAATAACAGAAAGATAAATATATAAAAAGGGAAGAATTTTAGCATTTTATAATGCGCCAGGATATCCTAGAAATGTCCCCCAGGGAAGTGCCCTTCAACTCCCACCAAGCAGCTATGGGTAACACCAGTGTGAGGAGTGCCATACATATAATGACATGTATCACAGTATTCATGGATGGACCTTTCATTACAAGTCACATTATCACACGGCTCTGCATGCCGCTATGAGATCATCTAACACTCATTAGTTCAACTCACTTCTTTTGCTTTTACTTACAATTACGGTTTCCCCACTGCCTGGTTGAGTAACGCACTGGTGATGTAGCTCTGACCTCACAGATGCATCCTGGGATGGTTACATCACCAGCAACTTCTTGAGAAATCTCATCTGTAATCTGCAAAACCTTGCGGGATTACCAGGGAAAGACATTCCGCCTCGCCACAGATGATGCGCACTGTCACATGTTCCAGGAGGCAAATGCAGAGTTCCAGGAAGTAAAAGGAGATGGAGTCGTCTGCCCTTAGTAAAAAAGGCCACTGTGTGAAGAATGAGAAGGAAAAGAAAAATAGGGTATAAGAATCCAGTAATTATCTAGAAGTATGTGTTTGTAGATTGTCATCACTAATCCTTTATAAAGGTGTGTTTATTGTCAATTTTAAGATAAGAGTAACGTTCTTCTTTAACTGCCGGTAGCTCAGTGGAGCAAGGACATCTCAACGCGTTTCACAGATAAACATCGCCTTCTGACGAAACCCAGTTATGGGAGGGGTGAAGCGCGTCAACGTGGAGAGTACGCCATCCCACCCGTTCCTCATTGTATACATGTGAGTATCGGCTTTCCATTATGCCTGCTTGTCAAGTCTACATTGACGAGCAGGCATAATGGACTAATCGGGGACACTGTGGGAACCATCCCAAGAGGCATCAACTTTCAGACTGCTCCATTTAATGTCAGGGACCATAGCACCTCCAGGTGGCGCTGGAACCAGGTCCTGCAGTTCCTGCGCTCACCTGCAGGTGTTTCCAGGCAGCCAGGAGTTGTCAGGTACCAGACCACCCCTAGGTGGTGCTGGAACCTGCAAGTCCAGTACTTACCTGCGAGTGTCTCCCAGCGATTATTCACCACCTGGTGCTACCTGGGAGGGTATTTAATCCCTCCCTGCAGTCTGGACTTTGGCTGAGTCCTGAGTCCTCCTTGTTCCTTTACCCTGACCTTTGGCTCCCCTTGTGGTTCTATGCTCCCTGGGTTTACTTGGCTTGTTACCTTTTTGTATGTGCTTGTTGATTTAGTTAGTTACTATTACTTGTTTGTGGTTACTTGTGGGTGTTGGTGGGGTTATTTCTGTTATGTTTTGGTGTGTATAAGCTCAGTGGCAGTTTCTGGTTTGGTCACGTATTTGGTCCTCCCGTGTGGGTACCTGCATGTGGTGTGAGGGTACCATGTACCCACACGGTACCCTGACAATTGACTTCATCTGTTGTGAGTAAAATAAATACAAATGGCGGTGGACGGGTAGGAGCTCTTACTTGATGTATGCAATGGACATGAACTACTGCAAAGACTTTACCCCAAAACAGCTTCTTATTTGTGCTATCATTCAGCTCCAATCAGAGCCAGGAAATCAGCATTTTCTGAGAGAACCTGCGGTGGCTGTTGGAGGGACTACAAGTGTGTTTTGGTCACATGCCCAAGTATCTATAAACTGAGACGGATGAAAGGAATAGCAGAACGGACAGCTCATTCATTTGTAACAAGATCTCTCAATATCAATGAATGAAAGTGTGTTTACCAGGTGCAGCAAGTGCTACTCATTCAGATGGACGCATGTAAAGCTGCCCATACACCTTGCGATCATCGGACAAAACTTTTCGTCCGCTGACCGAACCGCCGTACAATTTTCGTACGGCGGCCCCATCCTGCCCCAATTATCGCAAGGTTGGATCAGCGGTAATTAGAAGAAAGCACCTGGACGAATTGCGGTAATCGACCGCACGTATTTTCGTCTGCGCATGTGCAGTGTAAATCGTACGAATTTTGACGGAAACGCCACCAACCTTGCAGAAATCGTACGATCGACCAAAGTTTTCTAACCTGCTGGAAAAGTCAAATGTCGTTCGATTGTACAGTATTTGCGGTTGTACACTGCCCATCAACCTTACGAATATCGGATGAAAACGCGATTGCATACGAAAATCAGCCGATATTCGTAAGGTGTATGGGCAGCTTAAGAAGTTTTACTTGTCAGAAGATTCTCTTACACCAGTGGTTCTCATCCTGTATCATCTCAGGACCCACATTTGTCCTCGGACATTAATTAGCGACCCACACTAGAACGCACAGCATTGTGGTACCGCATGTTTCGGTGCAAACTATCAAACTGTGGGCAGGAGGTGTGTTTGGGGTGCAATTCAAATGAACGGCAATGCACCTTCTGCACCAGAATAAACAGTAGGTGTGATTGTGTGATACTTGTGTGATTGTGCAATTAAAACACTGAAAGACACACACAATGTATCATTCAACAGTCCAGTAAACATCACACATGAAGCCCAGGACTCATGCTCCATTCACACATAGCGTAAGCATTTTCCGCATGGAAAACTGTGCAACACGAAAATGCACAAACGGTAACATACATGCGGATTCCGCGCATTATTTTTTATATTTAGCATGTTTCAAACTGCTAATGGGTGAATGGATGCTCATCACTGCAGCAGATGCAGATGACCTAAATGGGACACTGTCTCAGGGACGGAAAACAGAAGAGCAGCAGACTAAAACAGAATTTAGAATCCATCAAAAAAGTATAAACATTGAGTTGATCAATTGCGTTGAGAGCCAAGGTTGCCTACCCCAGGCCTAGGTTATAAGAAGATTGCCAAGACCCTGAAACAGAGCTGCAGCATTGTGGTCAAGACCATACAGCGGTTTAACAGGAAAGGTACCCAATCAGGGCTTCCTTGCACTGTGTGGTGCTCAGTGCCTTGTGTGGTGCTCGGCTGTGTGTTCGCCAAATACACGAACTACCGATGTTTGAGTCGAACTGTTGTTGGACTCGAACATTGAGCCCATCCCTACTTTTCATAAGGGTTGTGGGCAGGTGCACAATCATTGGGTGCTAGTCACTACTAAAGCCGAACCCAGAAATGGAGATTTCATCCATCCCAATTCTCTTAGAAATCCCAACTATAATCCATAATCTGTATACTGTATATACATACTCAGTCATCCTCCTGGCTGTCTGTCCTCCCTTTCTCCCCCCGCTGTCTCTCCTCGCTCTCTCCCCTGACTGTCTCTCCTCTCTTCCCTGACTGTCTCTCCTCACTCTCTCCCCTGACTGTCTCTCCTCGCTCTCTCCCCTGGCTGTCTCTCCTCTCTCCCCTGGCTGTCTCTCCTCACTCTCTCCCCTGGCTGTCTCTCCTCACTCTCTCCCCTAGCTGCCTCTCCTCACTCTCTCCCCTAGCAGCCTCTCCTCTCTCTCTCCCCTGGCTGTCTTTCATCGCTCTCTCTAAGCTGTCTCCCCTTGCTCTCCCCCCATGACTGTCTCCCCTCCTCTCTCTCTCTTGGCTGTCTCTCCTTGCGCTCTCCCCCCTATGGCTGTCTCTCTTCCCTCTCTCTCTTGGCTGTCTCTCTTCCCTCTCTCTCTTGGCTGTCTCTCTTCCCTCTCTCTCTTGGCTGTCTCGCCTCTCTCTCTCTTTTGGCTGTCTCTCCTCTCTCTCTCCTGGATGTCTCTCCTCACTCACTCTCCTGGCTGTCTCTCCTCAATCTCTCTCCTGGCTGTCTTTCCTCAATCTTTGCCCTGGCTGTCTCTCCTCGCTGTCTTTCCTCAATCTTTCCCCTGGCTGTCTCTCCTCGCTCTCTCTCCTGGCTGTCTTTTTTCGCTCATGCTCATGGCTGTCTCTCCTCTCTCTTTCTTGGCTGTCTCTGCTCACTCATCCCTCTCTCTCTTGGCTGTCTCGCCTCTCTCTCTCTTTTGGCTGTCTCTCCTCTCTCTCTCCTGGATGTCTCTCCTCACTCACTCTCCTGGCTGTCTCTCCTCAATCTCTCTCCTGGCTGTCTTTCCTCAATCTTTGCCCTGGCTGTCTCTCCTCGCTGTCTTTCCTCAATCTTTCCCCTGGCTGTCTCTCCTCGCTCTCTCTCCTGGCTGTCTTTTTTCGCTCATGCTCATGGCTGTCTCTCCTCTCTCTTTCTTGGCTGTCTCTGCTCACTCTCTCTCCTGTCTGTCTCTTCTCAATCCTCCCTCCCAGGCTGTCTCTCCTCATGGAGCCCCCATGGAAGAAGAAAACGTGCCCAGTTCCCCCCCCCCCGGCTATTTGAGTTGGAGACCCCAGCTGTATACAAACTTGGATTTGTATGGATATTTTTGTGGATGAGCACTTACCTTACAAATAGAGTGCAGTAGCTACCCCTGGGGCTATATATTATACAGGTAGCAGAAATGTGGTTAGAGGTATTCAATTGTAAGTTACATTGTAACAGGAACTACTGCCACTTGTTTAATGTTATAATGTTTGTCATAGAGTACAGATTACAAG